ACAAGTAACAAAACAGCTTGTAACCAATACACTTCTTGTGCAAATGAAGTTTTGTCTTGTTCATTGTTAACCCAGAGTCATATGCTGTTTAAAATATAAGAGTCATCCTCAGAACCACCTAGTCCAACAAAAGAGCCTTAGAGCTTGGGCAAAATACTGTGGGAAACATTAATTAAAGACTGGAATTAAATTCCAGGTGGCAGCATTATATACTTTGAGTGAGAGAAAGAAACTAAAAGAAATTTAAAACCATATCATACCTAACCACGGAGCTGCGGTGGCTCAAGTGGTTAAGACGCTGAACTGCAGGCTGTGGAAGGTCGGTAGTTCAGCAGTTCGAGACCCGAGTTGCCGCATGACCGAGTGAGCTCCTGTCTCTAGTTCCAGCTCCTGCCAACCTAGCAGTTCGAAAGCAAGAAATTGCAAGTAGATAAATAGGTACCACTTCGGTGGGAAGGTAACAGTGTTCTGTGCGCCTTGGTGTTTAGTCATGCCGGCCACATGACCACAGAAACGTCTTCGGACAGCGCTGGCTCTTCAGCTTTGAAACGGAGATGAGTACCGCAACCCTAGAGTCGGACTTGACTGGCTTTCGAGCAAGGGAACCTTTACCTTTACCTTTACCTAATCACACAAATTAAAAGAGAGTTAGCATGACAGGTACAAATTAAGCTGATGTGTGGTCTGAGTCTAATTCCACTCCAGAGAGTTCAAAAGGGAGGTACTGAGCACCATAAAGAAGAGACTGTAAAGCCAGAAAATAGTTTTGAATGGAGTTTAAAAACATCATTTGAGAGAGGGTTTTCTTCCTCTGGTGTACCCAAACATATTTTTTTCTGCTGTGATCTCTGGTCAAAGATTTGATGGGTTTTTAATACCATGCAATAGAAAAGAGCAAGAGTCCAGTAGCACCTCAAAGACTAACAAAATTTGTGACACTGCTCACTTCTTCAGAAACAAAGTTCATACTGTGATACACAGTGATTCTGCCATGATATTAGATGAAGAAGGATAGCCACGTTAGTCTGTCTGTAGCAACAGAAATTAGCATGCAGACAAATACAATCCGTTGTAAGGTGGTTGAGGGAAGTCTTGGGAGACCCTTCCCCATCCCTACAACTGCATGCCCAGTTGCTACGTCATGCTGTGACAGCAGGAGTACAGAGCTAACAAGGGCAAGGGATGGACCCTCCATTCCTTGCTATCATTTCCTCTGGAGTCACAGTGGTGGCACTTGGGCTGCATCCAGAAATTAGCCATAGGGACCCCCCTCACCTCCCTACACTGATTGCCAACTGCTGTCTTGAAGCTGCCCCACCCACTGGAACCAGTGATTCTGGTTCCACCTCACTTTAATGGATTGGAAATACATTTGCCACAGGCCTGAGCAAAAGCAAGAAATGCCCTCTTTTCAAAGATCCTTATTAAGAATGGAGGAAGCAATGTATAGATTTCAGAGCTAGACTTCGTCATTCCAACATGCATTCATTTAATCAAGAAACACCATTACTGGACAGAGTTGAAAAGCTTCTAAACCTGCCATTTATCCCAGACCCAGAGGGGAGGTAGATTATGTTTAGCTTCCTTCCAGTGGTGTCCCCAGGTCTACCCTCTTCACTTTTGAGATGTGAGATAGCCTAATTCTTCACTTTGCTGGAATTGTAATGTGTCACTGAGACAGGGTCTCCATCCACATTGATTATCACAATGGAGAGTATTTTGAAAATTATGAATAATTACACGTTAAGAGATATCTAGGTTTTTGTCCTCACTACAAGGCCAACAACAGTCTCTTCCTTTCCATACTAGATCAGCTATGGTTTGGATAATCAGGTGCTCAGAGATGAAACTCAGTTGCCTTTTGTGTATCGGATTGCCCCAAAGAAAGATGCCTATTTCATGGGGATTGTGAAGATGCTCCTGCATTTCAGATGGACATGGATCGGTCTCCTGGCTCCAGACAATGCCCAAGGAGAAAGATTCCTGAGGACCTTGACCACTGTGGTCATCAGGAGTGGGATTTGTGTTGCCTTCACAGAAACCATCCCAGAACTTAACGAAGATGCCGGGTGGTTCGTTTCCCAGATATACCCACTTTTCATGCAGCGAAAATGTAATGTATTCGTTTTCCATGGAGACTCCCACTCTATGATTGCACTTGGGGTGTTGATCAAATATGTTGAAAAAATAGGAAAGTCCATTGTGGGGAAAGTTTGGATCACACCAGTCTTGCATGATCTCAGCCTGAGGTGCTTTTTTGAGGTGTTTGATACCCAGTACATCCATGGTTCTTTTTCCTTTTTGATTCAGAAAAACACGAACACCAAATATGACAATTTAAATTCCTTTTTATCTACTCTCAGAGAAATTGGAGAGCGAGCATTTAGTTGTTCATATTCAAATCATGGGTTGTCTGTGAAACGCTGGATAAGATGCAGAGAGAAAGTGGTACTGGAGACCCCATCCCAGGATGATCTTGAAAGTATCTTGTCCCAAGATAGCTACAGTATTTACAACTCAATCCAGGTGGTGGCACATGCCTTGAATGCAGTCTCCTTATCCAGATCTAATCAGATGTTGAGTGGAGGCTGGCTTGGGCTTCAGACGTTGCAGCCATGGGAGGTATTCCTTCTCTTATTGTCTCTGAAAGTGTCTGTGAATTGTTCAGTTACAGATTTGTACTCTGAGACGTACATGAAAATGAATTTCTGCATATTTCCAAGGCAAAGATGTTCCTGATGCAACTCAGACTGAGGAATTCCCTGAGACCAGAGTTCCGTCTAAGCTGTACTAGGGGGTGTTGGTCCACAAAAATGTAACTGACAGTTCAGGATTTTTCCATTAGCACACAAGAGAACTGAGAAGGTACAGTCCAGGATTTTTCCATTAGCACACAAGAGAACTGAGAATGTACGGTATTTTCCCCTCTCCTTTGGAAACAATGAAGGATGGGGGCATCTCCTTCTGGGGCCCATAGAATTGGACAGCCTGGTCCAATCTTTTTGAAATTTGGGGGAGGGTGGTTGAGGAGAGGCACCAGCAACTATGCTGCAAATTTGGAGCCTCTGCCTCAAAAAACCAGCCCCCTCCCCCAGAGCTCCAGATACCCCTGGATGGCTTCTCCATTATAGCCTATGGGCCTCATTGACTATAATGGTCCCCATACAGTATAATGGAGCTGGGGGAAAATAATTTCTTTTCGCACCCCTATTATGCTTTTCAGTATGATTTGTAAGCTTCCTTGAGACACAGGGGAAAGTGGGATA